TTTCTGGAAAGGGGTTTAAAGTCAGTGAACATTAATTAAAATGAACAGTTGGTCTCACAGCTTTCAGCTAACTCACTGGTATAATGACAGCTTCAAGCTTGCTGGAGTTCAGGTCTGCCAAATCTTGTGTGTCCCCACGGGCTCTCCTGGCACTTCCTCCAGCACATTTCTCTTCTGCTGGGCTCTCTTTCAAGTGATTAACAATGTACATCTGCTCAGCATTAGGAGCAAATAGCTTCACCCTCAAAAATAGAAATAAAAACAAATGATGTCATTGCCTCCATGAAAATAACCAAGCAAATCAATCTCAAACCAGGAAGGAAAGTCAGAAAACCACTAAGTAATTCCGTATGCCGTCAGGGCCAACACCAGCTACAAAGAGCAGCCACAAGGACGAAACTGCAGGGGACTTCTCCAGGGGGTAGTGAGCTCTCAATTACCTTCTAGAAAGAAAGTAGAACAGAAAGAGGCTGGTTTCCAAATACACATATACACATATCTATACACACACACAGAGAGTAATTAATATATGTGTACGTGTGTATACATATGTATATATATACATAGACCTTAAATAACACAACACCTATGCAGCCAAAAATTCATGTATAATTTTGACTACCCAAAAACGTAACTACCCATAAGCCTGTTGACATAAAGCCTTACTGATAACATACACTGTTAACACATATTTTGTATGCTATATATATTATACACTGTAGCCTTACAAGGAAGTAAGCTGAAAAAGAAAATGTTAAGAAAGTCATAAAAGAGGGCATCTGGAAGGCTCAGTCAGTTAAGTGTCTTCCTCCAGCTCAGGTCATGATCCCTGGGTCCTGGGATTGAACCCTGCATTGGGCTGCCTGCTCAGCAGGAAGCCTGCTTCTCCTCCCTCTCCCACTTCCCCTGCTTGTGCTCCCTCTCTCGCTATGTCTTTCTCTGTCAAATAAATAAATAGAATCTTAAAAAAAGAAAGAAAGAAAAAGAAAACCATAAAAGAAAATATATTTATAGTACTATATTGTATTTATATTATAAAATTCTATGGATAAGTGGACCTACACAGTTCAAACCCATGTTGTTCAAGGGTCAACTGTACAGGCTTTTTTTTTTTTTTTTTTAAGATTTTATTTATTTATTTGACAGAGATCACAGCTAGGCAGAGAGAGGAGGAAGCAGGCTCCCTGCCGAGCAAAGAGCCCAATGTAAGACTCAATCCCAAGGCCCTGGGATCATGACCTGAGCAGAAGGCAGAGGCTTTAACCCACTGAGCCACCCAGGCGCCCCCTGTACATGCTTTTTAAAGAGATGGAAGAGAGGATTTGATTTTATTTTAATATTTTATTTATTTATTTATTTATTTGTCAGAGAGAGAGAGAGAGAGAGAGAGAGGAAGAGCACACGCAGGAGGCAGAGGGAGAAGCAGGCTCCCCGCTGAGCAGGGAGCCTGTGTTGGACTCTACCTCAGGACCCTGGGATCATGACCTGAGCTGAAGACAGACACTTAACCAACTGAGCCACCCAGGTGTTCTGAGAGGATTTGATTTTATAGATAGAAACACAGAGGGCTCAAAACCATGGAGAATTGATTAAATCTATCTTTAAAGTCTTTCCAAAGCTGGGATTCTCAAGCCTGCTGCATTTTAGAATCACCTGGAAAGGCTGAGGCCCCATCACATGGACTCTCTGGGACTGAAGCACTAGCTTGGTTACTGGTATGTCTTAAAATCTCCTGAGGTGATTCCATCAATTTTCAGAGTTGGCAACCACTGATCTAAGACAAGTAGGAAATAAAAATCACAAATTCAGTTAAAATTTCAGGGGTTTTATTTATTTTTAAGATTTTATCTATTTATTTGAGAGAGCACAAGCGAACAAGAGAGGGGAAGAGGGGAAGAGGAAGAGACACCCCGCTCAGCGGGGAGCCTGACACAGGGTTCAATCCCAGAACCCTGGGATCAGGGCCCAAGCTAAAGGCAGACACTTAACTGAGCCACCCCCACCCAAGCACCGCTAAAATCTAAAGGGTTTTAATGTAAAAAACCCAAAGCAGACCATTTGGTCTTAGTTGACCCACTTCCACACAATCAACCCAACCAAGCTTTGGATTATCACCCCCAGTCTGCCATCAGAAATAATTCCTCTTTCCCCAACCACTGGACCCTGCAGGGGCAGAGTCATGAAGATTAGGAGGCAAGGAAGGAGGCTCAAGTAGGCACCTATATACTGGGGCCCTTGGTGTCATACTTTCCCCATTGACATCCACCAAACTTGCAGGTCCACTTCTCCAGGAACTGGATAAGGCTGGGCTGAGTCAAACGTCCCTTGACTTACTGGGAAGGTTTTAGCCTCCTGTTATTAACCTTTGTATTTGATTAAAATACATATTAATAGTCTAAACATTCTCTCTTCCCTGTATTTTTGGTTTTGTTTTGTTTTTTAAAGATTTTATTTATTTATTTGACAGACAGATCACAAGTAGGCAGAGAGAGAGAAGGTAGGAAGCAGGCTCCCCGCTGAGCAGAGAGCCCCATGTGGGGCTAGATCCCAGGACCCTGGGATCATGACCTGAGCCAAGGGCAGAGGCTTTAACCCACTGAGCCACCCAGGCGCCCCTGTATTTCTGGTTTTACAAAACTGAGTAATATCTCCAATCCATGTGATAGATCCATGGGAAAGATTCTAAGCACATATATAGCCCATTATTAGTAAAAAGGGAAAAAAAGCTTAGAACATTCTGATGGGCCAGAAAGATGAAAAAAAAAAATGTGGACTGGTTTTTAAACCAGTAATTCTGGAAACAGATTGACTTGCAGTTGCTTTGAGAAATTAACCGGATCTACCTGCCCAATGTGCAGGTGAAGATAAAAATTTAAATTTCACCTAAACTCTACCCTTCTCCAGAGAATCCTATAACTCTATTTTTCCCTTTGAGGAGATGCCATACAGTTCCACTGGTGGGCAAGAGCTCAGTGGTTGATAAACATGATTTTATCAGACTACATTGATGTTCTGAATACTCTTAAACTGAGCAAGGACCCAAGGGAAACCGATTGGATTATAATTCAATCTGGTTTTTTTGATGGATCTTCAAGATTTGAAAACCATGAACTAGGGGCGCCTGGGTGGCTCAGTGGGTTAAGCCTCTGCCTTCAGCTCAGGTCATGATTTCAGGGTCCTAGGATGGAGCCCTGTGTCGGGCTCTCAGCTCATCAGGGAGCCTGCTTCCCCCTCTCTCTCTGCTTGCCTCTCTGCCTACTTGTGCTCTCAGTCTGTCCAAATAAATAAGTAAAATATTTTTTAAAAATAAAAAATAAAAATAAAAACCATGAACTAGAGAGAAGTCAGTATAATGAGGGATCAGGCAACAATAGTCTATATGCATCTTTAGCCTGGGATACTGGGGTCATAGCCAAAAGGAACAGAAGGCAGAACCAGACCAGAGCAGATGGGAGCTACGGAGAGGCTGAGTCAGGGCTAATATGAGGGATTGCTTTCTCACCCTTAGAGCTCCCTATACTCGCAATGAAGAGACTGCACTCCCAAGAGAGAAGATCCTCACCACTCACCACGGTGAACTTGAAGCTCCAGGAGGTCCTGAGTAGGATGAGAAGCTCCCCTGTGTTCCTCTAGCATATCCCATTATTTGTAAACTGTTACTTCAGAGAGCTGTATTAAGCCAAGCTCATGTAAATACCCACGGGGAATCCTGCGGGTGCTCTACCCAACTGAACATTACATTGCAGCTGCCATAGCTAGGATGTGTTGCCCACCCTCCTTCACACCCCCACCCGTTCCCACCCGGCCCCCCGCCCAACTTGTTCAGGTCTTCGAAGAGGTCATTTCAGCCTTGGTGATGCTGAACTGAGCCGCGGTATGCAGGAAAGCTAGGACGGCGACCACCTAAACGCTTAGGTAAGTGGTACCCTGCCTGAATTTCCACAGAATTCTCCAACCTGGGGCAGCAAGCCGGCAAAGGTGGGGGGCCTGGGGGCTAACGAATTCCCATTAGCCCTCAGAAGGCCTAGTAGGCCTGAGGAAGCCAGTGCCGCTCCCTTCACCCCAGCATGGTTCATGTGGGCGCCTATGGTAGCGGCAGCCCCCTCACTTACTCCCATACGCTTCCAGATACTGTGATGGTTCACAAGTGCTGTGGGTGAAGTGAAGGCAGGATGCTCTCTCGGGAAACAAGTGACAATACGTTATAACGCTTTGAATGTACTATTTATGGACATAAGTCAGTATCTTTGTTTAAAAGTATGGCAGGCCACGGATATCTCACCAGAAGCAGGGCGGCCTTGAGGTGGCTGAAGGGTCAAAGAAGGGTACGGCAGAATCTCCTCCCCCACGGAAGTGGAAGATCCCAACAAGGAAGAACATCTGGGGATAGGGGCGAAGTGGATTAAACGGCGTTTAGAGTGGTGTGGTATCGCGGGATAGGACCAGTCATTCCTCCATTACTGTCGTCCTCACCGCACCACCACCGCCAAAGGAAGATTCTCTCACTCAAATGTTTGCGGTCACCTAGTCTGGACCCTGGGTAGCGAGGCGAGAGTTCCGTGCTAGAGACTCCAAAGGATGGGCCCAAAGCTGGATTTTTTGTTGTTGGTTTGGTTTGGGTGGTCGTTGTTGAGCGGAGGTCGGAAAATAGCTCTAAAGAAGGGGTGAAATTTAAACGGAGACGCGGGGCCAGAAGCACGGGCGTTCTGGGTCCGTTTCTTAAAAAGGAGGCTCCGAGGCCCGGATGGAGCGCGGGCGGAACCCAAACGCCTTCCCGGTCGGCGAAGTTAGAAAGTCGCCACCGTGCAGGCCGCAGCGGACAGGAAAAAGAAGCGCACGGAGGGGCTCCGCTCCCTCCCATTCACGCGGGCGTCGGGTATCGCCGGGCAGAGTCTCCCGCCCGGGAGAGGGCGGGCGGGCCGGACCCTAGAGGCCGAGTCCCGGGTTGGCGTGGCGCGGGGGCGTGGCTCCGCGCATGCTCAGCTCGCGGGCGGTCCGCGTCGCGGGGCTCGGGAGGCGCCGGAAGCACCACGATCCGCGCCATGGTGCGGGCGGGGAACGCCGACCCGGGGGTCCCGAGGCAGCGGGCCGTGGGCGTGGCGCCAGGGTGCGCGCTTTGGCGCTGGGCCCTGGCGCTGCTGTGGCTGGCGACAGCCGCGGCCGGCCCCTCCCGGCGCCAGTGGCCTGTGCCCTACAAGTGAGTGCGCGCGGCGCGCGGGCGGGGCGGGCGCGCGCACGGCCGGGGCTGGCGGGGAGGGGAGCCTGGGGCCGAGAGGCGCTCCCGGCGCGGTGGGAGACGGAGTTCAGCCTGTCGGGAGTCGCCGCTGCCTGCCGCTCGCCGCCCTGGAGCCTTTCTTCGTCTCCTAACACTTGAGCAAATTTCTAGGTGATGTAGGCTCTGGACAGTCCCTAATCAGGGAAGAAACGGGGAGTAATGTTATTTTATTGAGTGACTTTTAGGTGCAAGTAACGACTGTTTGAATAGTTTGGGGAGACTTTGAATATCGCGTTTATTAACGCCCTGCACGCCGTTAGTTATCGTGAGCGCGTACCCATTGGCACGATTTACAGCATGACCTACTGGCCTGGGTTCTCTGGGACGTTACGTTTTTATCCCCCAAAGTCACGCGTCCTTGGACCCAGGCACCCCGGGAAAGTTGGTGACCTCGTATGTCCCCCGTTTCCAGTCTGCGTGTAGGATGTGGTCGTAAGACCAGGATACAGACTGCAAACCTGTGACGCTGATTGGAGCCTCTGACGTAGAAGAGTATTTACCCGGCCTAAGACGACCAGGTGGTTAAACACACCGAAAGAAAACGTGCTGTTAACAATCAGACAGGGCTTTTGAAAACGCACAACTATATCGGAGGACAGAACAGTGAGTGGGGTGTCAGGTGAACGCAATGGTCAGGAGAGAACTCTGGGTTCCAAGCTGGGCACCACCATCAATAGCTGTTCCATACTCCGGATCTCTGTGACCTCGGGTCCTGAGTTAGCGGGAATAGTAGCAGCATTTACCCCAGGTTTGTTAGGAGGATTACATCCAGTAAATGTCAGCTCTTGTCAAGCGCGGATATTAGTGTATTCTGCTCACTGAAAGGTTTGCACCACTTCCTTGTTTTGCTTGATATATATAAAAGAAGTTTGGGGTTTCTTGGAAAAAAAAATTCAATAAAAGGTTCATAAGAAGTAAAAAAATTAAATGTTCAATAAAATAAGGGATTGTAAATCCAAAACGACTTCACTTAAAATTAGGGCAAGGTATGGACTATAACTCCATGATTCTATGAAAGTTTCTAATCTCAAATGAATATAATAAAATTTAACTTTATTAAGCTCATACAAATTATGCTTTTGAAATTACCTTTGACCTGCAAGAGGTTTAGCTGTGACCAAGTGAAAACTGTATATAGTTACGTATTTGTTTAAACCAGATGAGCACCTGTAAAACAGGTAAGAAGTCTACCTGAGTCTCATAAACTTTGTGTGGGGTGGGGGATAATATTTTTGGCTAACATCGGTATTCTAACTTCTTAAAATAGACATTTTTGTTGCTGTGTTAGGGTTATAAGAGAACAGATCTTTCTAAAACCTTAGAGATCCAGGATTCCTTGAGGGTAGATGGAGGTAGCCTCTTTCTTTCATTGGTATCTTCCAGTGCCACATACTGAAGGTGACCGGGGGTATCTACTACTACCATCCACACCTTAGCCCTACTGCCACGGCCTTCTCTGGGGTATTCTAGTTACATTATTACAGAAATCTCCTACCTGACCTCTGCCTTAACTTCCCCTCTCTCACTGCTGTCTTCTAACTCATAGAATAAGGTTTGTTTTGTGGCAAATCCAGTCAGACCAGGTCTACTACTTATAATCTTTGAACCTCACTCTGGGGCTCACTCCTCGCCAGTCCCCAATCGTAGCTTCCAGGGGTTGCCCATCTTGCTGCGTCAGTGCAAAATGACAGTCCCTGCCTCCCTCTCCTGCCAGGAAGGCTGAATTCCTCATTCATAGTCTTATTTACTTCCTGTCTCATAATACTTAATGTTTTCTCTATTTTTATGTCCTGACCTTCGGAAGTATTTTAAAACCTAAGCCAGGTCTTCATCTCTTTCTTTGCCCTCCTCATCTCCACATCAGGTAGAGGTGATTTCTTTTTTGGGCCCATAGGACTCTGAAGGGAACCTCATTTTAATTTTGTTTTCCTCCTTCCTAGTATAGCGTCTGACTCATAGTAGAGCTTGAATAAAAATTGGTTGAAGCATCATTGGTTAATTTCCTTATTTAAAATTGTTTATCAAGATTTCATTGGCATTATTAAACAATTCATGAATTGGGGCCACATCCCACCTAGCAAATGGAGGGGCACTCCTGTTGGTTAATTCTTAAGAAAATAGAAAATATATTCTATTTAATCATAATTATTTTGGAATCATCTTAACATGGAGTGTTTAGATAATTAAATGTCACTTGAAAATACTACTTTATTCAGTAAATATTTGTCTACTAAATAAGACCTGATCTGTCAACATTTTAAGATACAGCCCCCATTTTCAAGATTTTCACAATGGGAGGAGGAAAGTAAGAAGCATGCATTTATCAAAATGCTTTTAATGTATCATTTGCTATCAAAGCCATCATTGTTGGGCGCCTGGGTGGCACTCAGTGTCTGCCTTCAGCGCAGGTCATGAGCCAGGGGTGCTAGGATCAAGTCCCAGATCTGGCTCCCTGCTGAGTGGGGAACCTGCTTCTCCCTCTCCCTCTGCCTGCTGCTTCCCTTGCTTGTGCTCTCTCTCTCTCTCTCTACTAAGTGAATAAATAAAAATAATAAAGACACCATTGGCATTTGTTCACAGGATAACAGAAAATGTTTAAACACCATGGGCTAAAATTTTGAATGTTTTCTCTGAAAAATGTTATTGACATTTTCTGGATTCGAAAATATGCAAGAAGAACCAAATTCCTATTCGAATCTAAGTTAGTGGTTTCTTTTTCTCTATTAGACGTTTTTCCTTCCGTCCAGAACCAGATCCTTATTGTCAAGCTAAATACACGTTTTGTCCAACTGGCTCACCTGTCCCAGTTATGAAAGGTGATGATATCATTGAAGTCTTTCGGTTACAAGCCCCAGTATGGGAATTTAAATACGGGAACCTCCTGGGACACTTGGTAAGGCTGCATCTTGATCTTATAACTTTGGTTAATTAGATGATTTATTAAGTGGATTTGAGGGAATAATTGCCATTCAAAGGGCTAATTGGAGATAATGTTTAATTGGTGTTCTTCATGTTTAAAATGAATAGTCAGTGGGGCGCCTAGGTGACTCAGTTGCTTAAACATGTGACTCTTGGTTTGGGCTCAGGTCATGATCTTTGGGTCATGAGATCCAGCCCTGCCGCAGTTCTGTGCTTGAGATTCTGTGCCTCAGACTCAGCTTGAGATTCCCTCTCTCTCCCTCTGCCCCGCACCTCTCTCTCAAGGGCATGCACGTATTCGCAAGCTTGTGCACATGCGCTTGCTCTCTCTCTTTCTCAAATAAATAAAATCTTTAAAATGTGTAGTCAAAAAATATTACCATATTTTGTGATCCTGACAATAACAAATGCAGTTGCTCTAATCCTTTTTGATTGTTCTGTATCCATACCCCCCTCCTGTACCCAGCTCTTGGAAAGTAAGAAAGGAAGCCCAGAGGAAGGGGCAAGGCAGGTGGGAAACATTTTACTTCCGGTCCCTGCTGTACACACTTCTGCTAGGATTGCTCACCGCTTGACCCGCTAATTCCCCTGCAAAGTATATAGACTGCCTGAGACTGTGGCACGGAGCTTCTCAAACCAACTCTAAGGAAATTAAGAGCATGTCCATATAGCAGACATCCTTACTATCTGAGATAGGCAGCAGTGGTCAAAACCAGAGTGGAGGGGCACCTGGGTGGCTCAGTGGGTTAAAGCCTCTGCCTTTGGCTCCGGTCGTGGTCCCAGGGTTCTGGGATTGAGCCCCGAATTGGGCTCTCTGCTCAGCGGGGAGCCTGCTTCACCTCTCTCTCTCTACCTGCCTCTTTGCCTACCTGTGATCTCTGTCTGTCAAATAAAAAAATAAAATCTTAAAAAAAAAAAAAGAAAAAAAACCAGAGTGGAATGGTGAGTGCTGTGAAATGTGTAAGCCTGATGATTCACAGACCTGTACCCCTGGGGCAACTAATACATTATATGTTAATAAAAATAATGGAAAAAAAAAAAAAAACAGAGTGGAGGAGAGCCTGGAATTTGAGGAGCCACAGAGTGGACACAAGAATAGCAACATGGAAGAGGAATGGCTGAGCAGTTGTTCTACCTGAACGCAGTTGTGGTATATTAACATTTTCTCCCATTTGGTTCCTGGACCAGTGGGTCCTTCACAAATGCTTTTATACATGTATGGTTTTTACACAGAAAATTATGCATGATGCCATTGGATTCAGAAGCACTTTAACTGGCAAGAACTTCACAATGGAATGGTATGAACTTTTCCAACTTGGAAACTGTACATTTCCCCATCTCCGACCTGAAATGAATGCCCCTTTCTGGTGTAATCAAGGAGCTGCCTGCTTTTTTGAAGGAATTGATGATATTCACTGGAAGGAAAATGGGACGTTAGTTCTAGTAGCAACCATATCAGGTAAGTTTCAAAAAATATGGCGGTATCTGACGATTACATCAATATCCAAATGAAAAAAAAAATTACTTCCATTGAGACATTTCAGTCATATTCTACTCTCGATGTCAGTTTACAAAATGTACTTCTGGAAGCAATAACTTTTGACCCAAACTATTGCCCATGCCAAGTTCACCTTTAGGTGATGGATAGTGTCTCTCCTCTATTCCATGGTAAAAAAAAAAAAAAAAAAAAAAAATGAAATGATAAAATATTTTCTGCAATTAAATTGGACTTTCTAAATGAAGAAAATCCACAAAATGCTTGACAAAATAACTGATTAAAGGTCCTGTTCACTGTATCTGGAAAAAGACTTTTAGTGATGATACCATATTTTTACGTCAAGAAGTATTAATAGCTGTCTGGGGCGCCTGGGTGGCTCAGTGGGTTAAGCCGCTGCCTTCGGCTCAGGTCATGATCTCAGGGTCCTGGGATCGAGTCCCGCGTCGGGCTCTCTGCTCAGCAGGGAGCCTGCT